GGTGCAATCGCTAATGCTTATGATTTTTGTATTGGTGATGGACTTGCTTCAATAAGAGAAAAAGTTCTAAACAACGTAAAGAATCTGAAAACAACTGAAACATACGGTTTACCATTTAAAATTGATTTGAAAGTGGGCGCTAAATATATGATGACAGTGAATATTGACACTGAAGATGGATTAGTAAATGGCGCCTGTGGAAAACTGATAATGATTGATTATGGAAAACTTCAGAAGACTAATGAGACAGTACCATGTCGACTATGGATTAAATTTAGTGAGGAGAAGACTGGAAGAAAAGCTAGAGCTAACTTTCACAATGTAATGCAAAACAGAAATATCGATCTCAGTCTCACACCAATTGAACCAGTAACACGGCAAATAAATACGAGATCAACTAATTTCAAAGTAGAACGTAAACAGTTTCCTCTAGTTCCTTCTGAAGCCATGACTATATATAAAAGTCAAGGTGGCACTTATGAAAAAGTCGTTGTCAATCTAAAGAAAGGGATGACACGATCTGAATTATATGTCGCTTGTAGTCGTGCAACAAAAGCAAGTGGTTTATATTTAATTGGCGATTTTGTTCCACCAAAACCACCTGAACCTAATGATGCAGTAGCGATGATGTTTAAAAACATGAGATCTGAGCGAATGCTGAAATTTTCACTTGAATTTCCTGAAGAATCTCAAGAAGAAAGATTTTCTATTATGTTTCATAATGTACAATCATTGAATAAACATATTTCAGATATTAAATTTGACAAAATATTTTTGTCTTCTTCCATGATAAGTCTTGTCGAAACATGGACAAAACCTGGTGATTCTTTAGAAATTGAAGGTTTTAAGATAGTTCAAAGACGTGATTGCAATGACATACGAAAACCATTTGGTCAAATTACTTATTTAAGAAATGACTTGAACCATCAAAATATTCTCGAAAAATATGAATATTCAGGCAAAAACCATATTGAATATTCCTCAATAAAAATTGATGATATCTGTATTATTTCTGTTTACAATTCACCAAATGCATCACTCGATGTCTTAAAACGAAGTATTAAGGAAGTTATAACTGTTTCGAAACAATTTTGTGAAAATATAATTGTTGTCGGTGATTTTAATATAGATTTGAAGATAAGAACCAATTACAAATTGATTGAATATATGGAATCATTCGGGCTTACTTTGAATAATAAATTATATAAAAGCTCAACTAATGCCAAAACACAGATTGACTATTGCTTCACTAATGTGAACAGCTTGAAATCTGATTATTTTGAAAGTCTCACAAGTTTTCATAAACCAATATGGATCAGAAAACATAAAGTTGTGACTAAGTCTCATTTTGATGAAACTGAAGACATTGATACAAATATACCTCTAAAGATCGAAGATTTTATAAGTAATGATCAATCTGACACGATGGAAGTCGATGAGAAATTCGTTTTTGAACGTCATGAAGCAGTTGATAAAAACGAAAACGAACAAATTGACTTAGATATGTCTTTCTGTTTGGAAGATCTCACAGTTAATGAGTCATCTGATGCGATGGAAATTGAAGAAAAGTCTTCTTCCAAAAACTATGAAATCATTGATTTAAACTCAAGAAAGATTCTTGATCACTTTCTTCTTGTACTTGATTTTAATAATACCACAGAGACTAATCAAATTTCAAGTCACGCTAAAATAATCAATGATTTAATTGAAAAGTCGCCATTTATAACTGTGCATAATAAAGACCAATCCGTCCGATTAAAGTCGAAAACAGAATATTCTGTTCAAGCGTTCGATTCAGTTTATGCTAGAACTCGTACGACTGCAGATGGCAACTGTTTATATAGTTCTCTTTCAACATTAAATATCGGATCTGAAAAACTAACACATTCGATGAGATTGTTGGCAGTCAATGCAATGATTAATAATAGCGATTATTTCCAAAAACTTTGTAAAGTTTTGCACTATTCATTTGAAGAACAGTTGAAAAGAACAGCTATGGATACGATATGGGGTGGAGAAGTTCAAATTCAAGCGCTTTCGATAGCTCTATCCCATCCGATCTATTCATATATTCAGTTTAACAGTGATCCAAAAAATAGACATTATATTTCATTGGATATTAGTTTACAAGAATTAGTCGATCGATTTAATAAACGGACAGCAGGTGGTCATTTAAAATATATAGGATACAAATTCGATATGAATAAATTAGGATTTTGTGTTTATTACAACGGTACGCATTATGATGCTCTCTTACCTTTTCAAGATAATCCTCAACAATTTGTACCGCACTATGATTTAATCACCATGAGTTTATAATATGAAATAAGCTTTAACTAGAAAAAAAACAAATTTTTTTTCGTTTATGCAAGTAAATAAAGTCTTCGGAACTAACTCCTCGCCGCGTCCTATGGGACAGAAAGAGGGCATCCGCAGGGCCTAAGGGGCAGTTCCTTAGTGCGCTCAAGGATGAATGTTTTTGAACAGCTTGATAAAAAAATTAAACATAATTGTTGACAGATTGATCTTGATCAAACTGTCTAAAAGAATCGACCGGTAATGTCAGTACACATGAGTTTGTCATAGTTTTAGGAAGAATAACATTGAGGAAATCTGAAACGCAGCATACTTACCCATTTGATTGTCTTCGTTTTGTAGTTCCAGACCAATTCTGTCAATTCCGAAAAATAATTATATAGGTTCTATGGAAAAAACGTGAAGATAATTGAGTCCTCATAATATAGGACTCGAGGACCTAAGCGCACCCTCACAATATAGGACTTCAGGACATAAGGGTATCCATATAATATAGGACTTAAGGACCTAAAGGTACCCTAATATAGGACTTGAGGATCTCAGGGTACCTTTATAGTATAGAACTTGAGGTCCTAAAGATACTCCTATAATATAGGACATGAGGACTTAAGGGTACCCTTATAATACAGGACTTGAAGAGATAACGACACCCCCCCCCCCAATATAGGACTTAAAGACGTAAAGGTATTTAAACACCCCCCTCCCTCCTTGGAATAGGTCAATATTGGTATAGGAAAAAGTGAATGAAACAGATGAGTCACCGTAGAATGTGTGGACATCAAAATTGTTCTGGCAAACCCTTCCTGTAAACACTTAATTTCTATTGGCTATTGCTCAGCCAATACGATTTGGAGGCAAATACAGCTCAGATTTGAACTCTTCATCTTGATTTACCCTAAGAAACTCGTTTTTCCTATAACTTGATTTCTATTGGTCACTGCTCAACCAATGGGATTTCGAGGCGAATGGAACATAGATTCGAGTTCTCCATTCTAGAAAACCTCGAACTATCATCTCTGTGATGGAAAGATAGAGCTCGAATTGTGGATCACATAGAGCGTGGACAATAACAGAACCGAATTCCGATTAATTATCTTTGCAATAGGCGCGTTAGCTTTGTTGTTCCTTTATGTTTTATATACCATTTTGTAGCTCGTGAAATTCTCTATCGAATGGTTTATAATAGTTGGGGGTTTATATGACTATGATAGGAAAAGTTTTTTACGAAAGCGACGATGGGTCGATTTTTTCATAGGAAGCTATAGGGAAAAATGGGTATTTTTGCAATAACTCGGGAACAGCTCGGCCGATCCTTCTCATCTTCGAACTCGACCGAGATATTGTAAAGACTAAACTGTATAGAAAATTTCATCGTGATCGGACTCTCCTTCCGAAAGTTATCGTGTAAACGGCCGGCCGGACATACTGACCGATTCTAGAGTGTATGAACTTTTTGAGTACACAAAAATTAGAGTTTTTCAGATATTCTATTCTTGAGACAATTATCAAACATTTTCATCCTCATAAACTGATGTCAGAAATGAAATTCTTTAGTAAAATTGCTATTGAAATTTTTATTAACTTTTTCGATAGATTAAAATATCTAAAATAAACGTGTTTGAATAATCTTCGAATTAGTTACATTTTGTGTTTTGAATAAAATTAAAAAAATAAAATATTATGTCGACTTTGATCGAGGCAAATGTTTTCGTCACGTATAAAGGATTCAAATATTAAACGAATATTCCTAACTACTGAGTATGATTTATGTTTAATCGATTTCTTATGTATAAAATCTTACTTTATACATATTGATTAAATGATTATCGTTTAGATAAATATAGATAGAATGATTCAACTGATATATATATATATATGTCTCTACGCTAACAGTTTTATAATAAAATATCAGAATAAATTCAAATGAAAAGTTTTATAACTTCCTATACATTAGGATAATAAAAAGAATTATATTATTTGATTTAGAAAACTTATTTTGAGATCAGAAACTAACTAGTTAATTTAGTAATTTTCAATAAATGATTATATAATTTTATTAGCTCATCTAAACAAAACCAAATAATCAACATAGTAGATGTTTATTAAAATGGATTATTTATAATACCACAATGAATTTCACTATGATTAATGAAATAACAATATTTAGCAGATTGAAAATGAAAATTTGAAAAATTACAAGTGTAAATGCACTAAAATTTTCAACACTTCTCAAAACTTTATAATATTTGACATTATCTATTTTTCAAAACAAAAAGTCCTTTATATTCATTGTTATGTAATTGTTACTTTTATAAAAATTCAACGTATGTTTTCTTGTAAATGTCTTTTTTCTTGACGATCATCTAATTGCTTCTGAATTTTATAGATTATTTCAGCTAATTTACGAAAATATTCATCTTCATTATTAGCAATTTTAAATGCTTCATCTTCAATACGTCGAATATAATCATCTAAATTATTAATGCTTGTATCACACATAACTTCTACATCTGTTATCGATTTAATTGCTGTTATAGCTTTTTGTATATAATCACGACGAGTTTCTTGTGTTAATTATCTTTGCCAATCTTTATCCATTGTTATTAATCTATCATTAGTATTATATGTTGTTTGATTTAATTGCACTAAATTTGTGCGTGTTCGAAATGGTTGACAAATTAAACATTGAGAATTCTTACATTGTCTCCAATGTAAAATAATTTGACGTGAAATAAAACAATGAGTAAATGTACAGCTCCTATATTTATCACATTTTATCATATGTTGTAGTAAATCTTTCATAGTACTGCAATATGGTACCGTACATGTATTTGGATATGCTATTTCATGTCGTTGACATTTATATGCATGTAAGAATAAAATAAGGCGTTTTTTAATATACTTTTCTTTTTGAACTGCAATATGTTTCTGTTGATGTTCAGTTGTTATTATATCATTTCGTGAATCAATTGGCGTTTGATTCATTGAAATCTAAAGGAATAGATTTAGATCTATAAATTCGAATGGAAAAAGTTGAATTATTTAATTTCTCTTGCTGTCAAAATATTGGAACATTGTCTTTTTATTAATTTTGAGTAATGAAACAGTCTGTATGTTTTACGTCTAATTCAAAAATCAAGTTAAAATGTTTTTTAATCTTTTACTATTATTTAAAAATCCAATTGACTGTTAGTAGTTTATTGTAATTGTTTTTTCTCATGGTAATTGCGTTAACTTTGACCGAGCTACTCTTATCTGTTTGACCTTGTGTGAAACAATGTGGTATATTACGTTGTATGTATCAACAGCTAGGCATATTAAAACGCATGGTTTTGGATACTCAAAACCTTGCGGTTTAACATGTCTACCTAGAGTATTTTTAACTATTATTTTTCGATAATAAATATTGTTGTGCATACATAATGATTTGATTAGGTTTTGATTATTTGAATCACATTCTTAAGTCTTTCCAATTCCACACTTACACAGAAACAATAAATAAATAAATAAATAAATATTTATATAATGTAAGAGAAAAGTTGGAACATATCAACCAAAATAATCTAATTGGTATTTATTTTCAATTAATGTTGATTTACTCTTAAAAAAAAGCTTACATATCATATAATATTAAATTGTGATGATTAAAAAAAAATGTTAATACTTATTTTATTTTATTTCATGAAAATTATTTTTTGGCACGAAAAAATAAATAGATTCTATTACGTAGTATATATTATTGAATAACTATCACTATCGAAAAGAAAACGTCGTGTAAAAAATAGATGTTGAATAATGTTACAACTATAGAAGTTCTTGTATTTTTTGAAAAGAAATTTTTATATTTAATTTACTGTTGATTTTATCTTAACATGTCTTCATTTCTTTTCGTTATATACCTTTCGAAGAGAAAAGAAGGATGATTTGTTCTCCAATAAATTTCCATTAATTGTTGTTTAGCATATTTGTTGATTATTGATAATATAAATGAAAGAAAAATATGTAAAACATAGTTTTCGAAGAGATAAATTTCTTTATTCTTAGGAGTCATTTTTAAAAATATAGTGTTATAGAGAATTATTTACAAAACATTAGTAATTAAAACTAGATACAAATATGTGATGATAAAAACAACAGTAAATTAATATTATAAATGCTTGTGAGAAGAATTCGAAACCTTTGTGTAACTTTATGAGTTAAATTTTCTTACGTTCTAATAAAGAAATCCAAAACATACGTATAGTGAATCTGAATGATGAAAATTGACTAAGACATGAACAATATATTGACATTTTTATCGATTCTAGCCTATTTTTTTATACTATACAAGTCGTTATTTCAAATTTCGTAATGCTACATAAATTACAAAGTACTTTCATATATTAAAGAAAAAACATTTATTTTACAAGAAACTATTGATATATAATAGTGTTAGTAGTGCTGTTAGTGCATACAAGTCATTATCTATGCATATACTCATATTCACTTAACATTCATATGATCTATAATACCACGTGAAATTGTTTTGTTGAATTACAAAAAAAAAATGCGATAACTCATTACACCTTCATTTTTCTCACATGAAAATAGTATCAAATGTTGTTTTTACCTTTCTGTTTTTAATTGTGAAGATTAAGCGCGTACATAATATTTCTGTTGTTCTACAATAAAAATCGGTTATGTTTTGAAGTTTTTTATATAGTTAACTTAAATAGTAAACAAATGGAAAAGTTGCTTAATGAATACGTTTTTACCATGCATCCTTCCCTCTATTTAATCTACTCGTGAAAAAGATCAGAACAAAAAAGAAAAACAAAATCTTTAGAGCACTACTACTTCATTTTCTCTGTAAATACTTTTGCTTTCGTTGGATTATTCATATACGAAGCCAGTTGCTTGATTTTCTATAGAATGTATGATATAAAAAAAAATCCAGCTCTCCAATATGTTGGAAATTTCCAATACATACATTAGAAGAAGTGTTGTATTTACAATTTTTCAAATATCAGCTATTTTCTTGTATTTTAATTATATTTTATTTGTTTTTTTATATTTTTAAAAATTTATTACTGATTCAAACTACCTTTGATTTTTTCTTATATTAGACAATTTACAAGACAAATTTTTTTTTATTGATTTTTACATATATATTTTTCTTTGTTCTCTTGTTTAACGAAAGTTAATAAATGAACAATGTACGATCATTAAACAAATTACATCTCAACAGTGCTTTTCCAGTTGAACTATTGAAACTTATTTTTTTTTTTAGTGAACAATATTGTGCAAAAAAAAATAACACATTGTTTGATTTCTAAATGTATGGTTTGACAGTTTGTATTTATATTATTTCTTTTTTATAGAAATATATTTTATAAAAATTTAGATAAATATTATTAATACTTTTCTTGAGAAACATTTAATGAAAGAAATTAAAAAAAAATACCTAAAAATCTTTCTGAATTTGTCCAGTTTTCAAAAAAAAGAACGTCTAAAACTTTTTCAACTATTCGGTTCTTACCTCTAGCAACCTTGAATAGAACAACAACAATGAAAATATTCTATTGCTAAGTGAGAAAAAAAAGTAGTAGGAATGTAGGTGTAATGTAGGCTGTGGTGCTCATTTTCAAATAGAACGGAAATCAATTTTTAATTTAATTCAAAATGTTGTTAATATTCAATTCATGTTTTTGATTGATCTAAAACTCTCAATTTTTAATGATTTGATCAAACGTCAGTTCATATAGGAAAATAACTTTTTAGAAAAATTTTAATCAAAATTTATTTTATTTTAGAAGAAAAAAGATTACTGCAATCTTTAAGTGACATAAATTCTCCTTATTTTGAATGCACTTTAGATAATTTTTAAACGATAACGACCAGCATTTAATCTATCAATCCAAAAAATCTATTGCATTGAATTAGTGTGAAACCTGTGAAATTTTGAAACAAAAATTTTTTTCAAAGTCATTTTTTAGGGTGAGGGTGTGAGTGTGAGCGAAGAGAACACTCGCACCCACATCTACCCTCTTATTATTACATCGATGTAATTCCTATGCCTCGTGTAAACATTAATAAGAATATTGTTCTGTCTATTCTAGGAAAACATTTTTTTTCACACATATCTATATATATCTGTCCGAACAGATGTTGTTGAAAAAGAAAAAAACAAAAATTTTCTTACTGTTGATTACATATAAAGACTTATATCTATTTAATTTTTTCCTTCTTTTCAATATTATGCACACTGATTCTTCTACAACCACGACCTCTTAAATCTGAATTCTTAACTCTTTATTTAATATTTTCTATTTGTATGAAAATTACATTGGATTTTCTTGTAGTAAATATGCTCAGTGTTCAACTATTATCCCAATTCATAATTCTTAAATACCAATTCTTAATTCTCAACTTCTTAATTCTTAACTTTCAACTTGTTAAACATCAACTCTTATTCCGAAAAGTGCAATTCTCAATTTCCAACTCAATATCCAATAACTAAAACTATCATCAATATTAATATATAAATTTTACAATTCAAACACATGATCACAAATCAAATACTACAATCATATCATTCGTTCTACATAATCTATGTCATATTCTGTCGTATTAAGAGTTTTTTTTTTGTCTTATTCAATATTTTTCTCATATATCATTCATAAAACAACCCATGTATAGTCTGAGAAAGAATCATTTGAAATGCGTTGTTAATCATTATTCTTTATTTCTTATATAAATAAATTTAACTCCACACTTATTTTCCTCGACTTCTGAAATATTTTCAATAAAAAAAGACAAAAAAACATTCTATATATATACAAACTTATATAATACCAAATAACAATCAATTCGAATCTATGAAGAATTAAGATTAAATAAATAGTTCAAACTTCACATTTCTAATTGACGAATCGAATCGATTCCCATCAAAAACAAAAAAAAACAAATTTTGCTTGATTTTTTTTTTTGAAAAAAGAGACATCCTACTTCTCAGCTCGAATATAAAGAAAAATGCTTCTTAAATAATAATGAAAATATTCTGTTTCAGAAGTTGATTAAAATTCTAAAGTTTAAATAGAAAATTTGCCTATTTAATGATTATTTTAAAATTTCTATTTGTTCTTTCATTACTGTAATTATTGTGAGCATTAATTTACCTTCAAGCTTTTTGTCAAGGTCTATTAGCATGCGTCTTTTTCTTCTTGTATCATTCGTAAACATGTCTTCATATGTGATAATTGTGACAACCATAATGATTAACTAAAATAATTACCCATCTATACACCTTCATTGATGACATTTTCATTAATGTAGAAAAATTATCAGCAATATTTTTTATGCGTGTGTTAACTTGTTTTTATGCTGTTTATGTTGTGAAAGATGAAATGAAGCATTATTTTTTTAATTTTTCACTATCTCTTCTCAATACAAGTAAAAGAACAGTTATTTACGCATCAGTGAACACAACTATTTAACTGAATAACACAACAGCAACATCACTTATTCAACATATATTGG